CGTCGCCATATTGTCTAATTTCAGGCCATTTCTTTTGATCTCTCAACAACTGCCGATGATTGTAGAAATTCTTGTATATAGTATTCTTGTTCGTTCTTCACTTCAGGTAAGTCGTTGTGGGATAAAAGAAGGTATTGGCACTCTCTACACTACTACTGAAACGAGTAACTTATAAAAACAAAACTGGTTCTCGAGCGCCATACCCCTTTGGGTTACCAATGACGTATGGGCCCTCTGATCAGAGCTCTCGGTAAAATTGAGAGGTCACCATAAACCATCTTGGGCGCTACCGCAGGATGTGGGGGCATTCATGGTGAGAATGCATTAGAAGCTGCTTAAAACATCAGCTTTTTGTTCAGAAAGGGACTAAGCCCTAGGACAAGGGAGGGAAGCTTCAGAATTCGTGAGCGAATCTCAATTTTCCACTAACCAGGAAATGCTTTCCAACTTCCCATGGAACTATGAATGGAGACTGGGATGAATCAATAGAGTAATGAATGCTAGTTACAAATATTGAGACCAAAACTGCTACGTGAACATTCCAAGCAAATCGTGGGCGGTCAAAGTTGACAGGAAGGGTAGCGTCAGTATAGGAGGCGAGCTAATCTAACCGCATCGGCGTTTTTAGTTTTTTCTGAAACAGTACCTATAGGGGTAAACAGATGGCCTGGTCACGAATATGAGTTTTGAGACAGAGGCGATCTGGCGCCAGTTTGGTGCCACTTTTTTACTGCATTTCTTGCCAACTTTGACCGCTCACAACTTGCCTAGAAAGGTCGCGTAGCAGTTTTGGTCTACATATCTGTGAATAGTATTCAGTACTCTACCGATTTGCCTGGAGTCTCCATCCAAAGTTCCATGGGAAGTTAGAAGCATCCCTGGTAAGTTCCTGCCCCTTCTAGGCTTAGTCTTAGAGGATGCCCCTATATCTTGCGATAGCGCCCAATTTTGCTATACTTCGTCGTATAAGCCTTAACCAATTATCAACATGCCGTACCGCGAGGGTAATGGGCTATCCCTCCGTAGCAATACCAAACTTATAGGTCGGTCCATAAGTCTTGCAACAAACTGGCCGAATTTTGAATTTAATATTTTCATTATCTTTTTGTTCCATTCATCCGGCATGCTACCCTCCATCAATATCTACAACCTATTGCCAACACACTAGTAGCTGCTCGATGCCTCCCTTGTAGGACTCTACTGAATTCTGATCGAAGAAAGATCAGATGTCGATTTTGACATCATCATAGTTAGGATGAGCTTTCTTCTCTAGGAGATGGTTTGGAGAGGGGAGCAGAAGGGCATTATTTGCCTCGAGGTCAGGGCTATAACGTGAATACGGAAGAACTCTCCGTCCCAGAGTCTCGAAATTTTCCTGAATTTTCTTAGCAAGAGGTTTTTCAACGGTGTCATACAAAAGCAAACTTTGCCTTGTTTTTCTTTCGTATTAAAAGCGTTGCATTCGAGCTGTGGATAGTTGACTTTCGCGTTGACTGCGACATCTACACGGAGGGGTTTCCAGAGCTTAACTCCTCCCGTGTTCCACCAAAAATCCGAGAAGGCCCTACTTGGACGAGGTTGAACTTAAGCAATAAGATCTCCCGAAGCGTTTGAGCTGGACTACCGCCGCTTGTTCATTTGTTAGTAAACTGTACCCACTCCTCATCTTCGGCAAATGTGATGGATGGTCAATCGTAGAATCCCTAGTAAGTCGACTTGAACATAACGGTGTCAGATCGTGTTTGGAGCTGAATCGGGCTCAAGGCACGTGGGGACCAAACTCTACATTTTCGGATCTTCACAAGTCTTTGGAGATGCCACAGTGCTGTCTCCTTGTCGCATCGGAATCGCTCTAGCAAATGATCGATACTCTATCCAGATCCCTTTTCAACGCCGTCAGATATAGCATCGTGATTGTCAGTCACAGGGTGGTTGGAGTGTGGGTTATTTTCAAATAAAAAAGTCAACGCTGAGCAGAGTGAAGCGCCGTTGCACTGTGGTTTGAGAGAGCTTGCCCTCGCCTATCTTCTGGCCAATCCTTGGTCTAGCATGACTTGCGGAACATTCCAAGCAGTACTCGTAAAAATTAAGGGCATCGAGAGAGCCCTCTCGCGAAATCGGTGTAATATCCATAATAAGTAAGCAGACAACGAGCTGGACCGTTGGCTGAAATTGCAAAGGTTGATGCTACGTCAGGAAATATGTTGCGGATTTTCAGGAGTTCTCCCTAAAATTCTATAGCATTAAATGTAGTTTGTTGCAAGACTTATGGACCGACCTAATATAACCCAGTAATAACAGATTAGTCCTCGCTGAGGCCCAGATCGGCTCGAAAGCAAACAAAACCATTGAATAGTTGGCGACCGTTTCAGTGTCTCACATCAGGAGTGTGTGGAGGGGGCGGTTATTGCTCATCAGCCCCGGCTGTACCTTGTCATGGTCGGACTTCCTTAACGCCGGCTACAGCTGATGGGCACTATGGATGTGCCAGGATATCGCCAGAAGTTCGCTGCACTAAGAAAAACTGTACTTCTTTGTCACGATTCCTCCTTTCGCTCTCCTATAATACCTTGAGCCAAAATTTTTTCAGGATGGAATTTTCATCAGTGATGAGTCAGAAGAGTCGGTTTCGCCACCGGCCAAGACTTTCGCCGAAGAGGACTTTGTAGAAGAAAGAAATATCTACGGAATAAGCGTGAAATAGGCAAAGTAAAACTGAGGGATTCCAGCACTGAAAGGAAACCGATCCGATCGATAACAGCACCCTGCAAAAACTCGTGGTAAGGGATTTTCAAGAGAATTGCTTGAAATTCTTTTGTTAACTGCCACTTCAGAATCCGAACTTCATCTTCCGTGAGTGTTGTGAGCAACGAGGACTGCCAGATGCATGTCTCAACAAGTGCCACTTCAACACCTACACAAGGGATGCGGTCAGTTGAAAGCTTCTGTGCCTCTTTCACAGTAGTTTCACAAAAATGTGCTGGGTTATGAAAAAAGCTTTCGCCACGAGCGGCACTCGAACCCTCCCCTATCGCTTTCCGGGCGAGTGCGGCACAAGTCACGCTGGCCGGCACCAGTTTGCCCCACCAGCTATCAAAGGTATTTACCATGCTTACAGCATCACACTCTAGGCAGAATGTTGCAAGCGATAGTGCTGGCACAGCTGGCGTCCTTCCAATGGGATTGCATAACTCAAAATCGCTGACTCGGTTCTTCCAAAACGGAACGATCGACCCCCGATTTCGCTTCGGATAGGGGAGGGACCGGATTCGAGCTGAACGGATCTGGCCTACTGTCGCGAGATCCAGTTGAGCGAGGCGAGAGACGGCAGGCGATGCCAACAATTGTTCGCCCGAAATACTATCAAATACTACCAGAATACCATCAACTACGCTCCCCAGACTTAGGAATCTTATAATATCAAGAATTTGACGAATTTTGTGGAAAGGGCCTTTTACTGGGGACTAACGTTAGGAGGGATAGCGCGAAAAATATACCAATATTTTTTATGGATCGCATTAAGACAGTGCCACGATCACTGGAGGGCGAGCGGTTATAACGTCCATTAGCGCACGGTGGAAGAGTGCTCTGAGTTGATGCCCAAAACACCCCCGACGCCCGAGGTACATGGCATCTGACTACCGATGAGACGTCATCGAACCGCTCCATTCAATTTTTGCCCTCCTATTGCCGGGACTCTGACATTCCCGCGACACTCGGAAGCTACCTCTTCCGCTTGAATGATCTTCTGGATCCCTTCACCTAGAGGTTCTCTTGTCTACCTGTAGCATGGGCCAGCCGAAGTCCCGCACGTCATAATTTCTTACCATCTGTGGGATCGGACGCTGTGTAAGTGACACGTATGTCACATTAAACGCGCACGTCCCCGGCTCCACTCTCGCCCAGACTAACAAAATCCTCCCTTTCTCCGCGGTTGATTCAAGCGACACAGCCTCGGATCATGATGTGGTATCACTTTCGGTAATGAAAGTGTGAAAAACGAGCTGACTGAAATGAAAAAAGCAAAGGAAATTGTTAATGAAGCATTCAACCAGGAAGCTTCCCCCTAACTGTTGGGGTGCGGAGGGGCGTGTCTGGACGAGTTTCCTCAACCAGCTTGCTCATGGCTCTACCATTTGCCCAAACTGGCTTCGATTTAGCCTCACTTTGTGATGCGCTACGCGCCCCTTTGGCGCGGCGATTTTTAGTCGCGAAAAACAGCACTTCTGCAATGCTCGTGAGCAACTTTATCCTATCCACTGAAGGGATTGTTCCCTACCACTTCATCTAGGGTTGTTGTTTAATAGTACCAGATCTGCTCTAGAGGATAAACCACTGAGTGTTTTAGGTCCCTCAAGTTGTGGCACAAATCAAATCGCATTCAACAACCAGAGTACATGGTGCTGCCCGAAAGGAAAAAAAACAGTGTGCTAACATAGCTGCGAAGGGGCAGACGGCACGCAAAATTTTAGCGCAGCATCCATCACTGCGAGGCGAGTAACTTGTGAGTCAGAGAGGGTGTGGCCAATTCACAGGGTGTAATATGTGGCGAGTAACTATACATGCGTGAACAGCTAAGATGTGCTAGTACACACCTTTTTGCTAAAAGAATACGTACAGTGCCCAGCGCGGCATACGATGTACCCACAGGGTGAATATTGCTTGAGGATTCCTCAACGGCACGTCGAGGATTTTCGCCTGATCCTTTACGTTCTCGCGCGCGGATATTCACTCTCGCCACCCGCGAGCCGTCTGTGCTCTCCGCGCGTACATTCACTATCGGCTCTACTCTCGCACAGCAGAGAGCGATGGTCGAGGATAAAGGAAATTGCATCCTGTACCGAGTCATCTGCCCTTCCCCCGACTGAAGTTAGTGCCGGGAACAGAAACAGAAGGAGTAGAAGTGAAACAAGTCAATGGTCTTGATCTCTGTTAACGTCAACCTATTCCAGCTCCAATCGATGTACTTCAAAACAGATGGATGTCCTATTGAAGCGACCGCTGACATGCACTTCTGCGCCGCTCAAGGACGAGATCATACCGAGGTTTGCAACGATATCTAAAGTAGCGGTCAAGCGTTCCGACCGACACGTTTTTTCGTGCATTCATTGTTTCTCCGTGTCACTTTCTCGGCTCAAGCAGTGCCCTTTGAGTATTGATGAAAAATGCCTTAAAGCCTTTAAAACCTCGACTGTTTAAGAGTCTAGATGAAGGAGAGGAAGAGAGACTTCATATAATTTCTGCTTGCTTCCTGCAGGAGTGCAGAATGACCAGCAGACAAAAGTTATTTGACTTGTTTTTTTGATGCTAACGGTGCTGTTTTCGGCCGCAGTTCGCGCTTGCGGAACAGTCAGTTGACTTTTTCGTGTTTTGAAGCAAACTTTCGCACCCAAGCGAATGCCCTGCCTGGGGGCGAAAGTTTTGTCAAAACACACGAACAGTGTTAGGCGCAACACTTTTGTGACGCGATACTGTATTAGTTTCTCCATGACAATATATCGCAAGTTTTGGTGGAGAAATGAAGGAATCTGTGGCAAATTACTAAAAATTTGCACTTTTTGGTAGGCATATACCGTTTGTAAACTCGCAGGGTGAAACTCCAGTTCGGGGGGGGGCCACTCCATTGCTATCTTATCCGTAGTACTAGAGAGCAGTTCTTTGGGCTATCGAACACTACGGATAAGATAATAAGTGAACGACTCATTTCGAGCGTACTTTTGATAAGGACCGGTGGATGTCCTACATTCCACACTACCTGCCCACATCCCATCCACTTTTCTGCACAGGTGATCCACCCTGGAGCTTTGCGGAGGTGTCCTTTCTCCTGGTCCAGGACCGTTCCCTTGGGTCATGGCAGGCGGAAATGTGAAAACGTTTCAGGGTTTCTCACCCATTACACCAATATTTATCAGAAGTCTACTTTAAATGAGTCGATTACGTGTCGTGAGCCCTCTAATCCTTATCTTGAGTATTGGAGAAAAAATGGAGTGCCCCCCCCCCCCCCCCCCCCCCCCCCCCCCCCCCCCCCCCCCCCCCCCCCCCCCCCCCCCCCCCCCCCCCCCCCCCCCCCCCCCCCCCCCCCCCCCCCCCCCCCCCCCCCCCCCCCCCCCCCCATGAGTTCCCAAAGGTAGTAAAGGTCTGGGAATATGATATCAAAGGCCGAGAGATATCGGCTGAACTCATAGTCTCGCAAATCATCTATTGAGGCTCAGCTCTCCACTAAGGAAGTCTGATCATCTGACAGTAGTCTTGATGTGTATTTTACCCCAACGAAGAGCCAGTTGGCATACTTCCGGTCCAACGAACATCAGCTGATCGCATGACGTGATCATCGATACCTTGACTGGTAGCTGACCTGGTCGCTGTAGAGGTGCAGCACTACGAATCCCTTCTGTGCTGACGTGTACGAGCAACCTCAGAGCATTCTGTGTTTCATAAGGCATTGGATAACGCGATGGGTGCGAGATTGGAACGTTGAGCTACAAAAGACCCGCTATACGAAGTTATTACGGTTTTAAGCTAGTAATTGCGATTGTGCAATGGGGTAGTACGAGCGCCATCGGAAGTGGTAGGTGGTGGAGAGCTGTGCTGTTTTTACGGTAAAACATGAACTATGCACTGTATTAGGGCTCTAAACCTGGAAACTAACACCTCAGAACACCTCTGAACACCTCTGCACACCGGATGGTTGCCGCTCACTTTCTAGTTTGGAGGTTTTCACTTGAAGCGGGCAGTATCCGTTTAATCCTTGTCTAGATATGGTTACGGCAATCGAAGCATAACGCGTAGTTGGCATTATTATTCGGCCATCGAGTTAGCAAGTTCAGAGCGACCTCTTTTCGTGGTTGCTCGCTAGTCCCACCAAAAATGCACAGCGCGGCAACAAAGTGATCCAATTTTGTCAGCATTTGACAATGTCTCGCTGCTTGTTTATCATTGTAGTCGATCTCCTTTCTATCTGAAGCTGACTCGAAATCTTTAGTGATGCGCGTGAAGGGCGCGGCTGGAGCCAACGGGTCTTGACTATCTATCGTGAACGGGCCAAAGCATGGTTTCCAGAAACCAGAAGAGCATGAGCTCCCACGCCTCTATGAACCGAAAATGTATTTATTAAGCTTTTTTGAAAACTTCACTCATAGTAGAGTCGCAATTCACGAGTCATGGGCATCCTCGTGAGAGCTCAGCTCACGGAAAGCACAACTTTGGGGGGAAAATTGAAATTGCTCATACATTCTGGATTCTCTCCTTCATCGCCTAAGGCATAGTCCCCGTTAACAAAAAATAGATGTTTGACGTGGATTTTGAATGCGTTGTCACTACAATGCCCCGTATTTTGAGATAGTGCCTACATGGATAGGGCCCGTTTAACAAAATTCTACTAGAAGTCAGGTTCACAAACCTCATTCGTTTCATTTTTCTCGAATAAATGAATGTAGATCTTCAACATTCTCTTACTACATTTCTCTTTCTTCCCTGATTTTCAAAGGTTGCATGAACAACATGCTCAGACTCGTCCCACTCATCATGAATCTTGTGAGAGCTTATAAGCTGACAGAATGCCAGCGTTACTGGAATGTCTTCATTAACAGCCGTTAGCAGACCAGCGTAGATGGCATATGAGATAATTCTGCCCTGAGGGAGCCTGTTAAACTGTATAATTGCTAGGCTCGGGGCGAAGGCGGTGTAGTGGTAAGTGGTGTGCACGGTCGGGAATCAAATCCTGGATCGCATGCCATCCCAGCCAACCATGTTTTCCACCCACACGGCCGATTTGTTACATTCACTTTCGTTCCAAAAGATCAAATTGTACACCGAATTGCCACTTCGGAATAAAGATAAAGGATAATAAAGGATAAAGCATTTGCCGTTGATCAATCCCTTTTTGGGATGCGGCACGCATTCTACTTCCATTTGTACATTCGCAGTGGCTTTTGAATGCGATGTGGCCTCTATAAAATTACTTGTGCGTGTAAGCAAATCCGCATTCATATGCCACAGCGACACAGAGTGGAACTAATTTGCGTGGCGCATCCCAGAAAGATTGATCAACACTGGAAATTTCACCATCCCACCCATAAGTCTTGAGAGAAGTAAACAGCCATTTTGCATTGCTGCTACGCCTTACCCGCTTTCAATAAATTATACTCGTAAGGGCCAAACTGCGTCGCAGTAATTCGAATCGCACCTTGTTCCCGGAACGAATTGATGGCGATCTTCGACCTTTAGAGATACGGCGTGGAAAAAAGATAGCTGGGCTTTTGGCAAGGTTAACGTGGAAGTGTCCTGAAGTTCTCCGCCAGGTGAGCCAACCTCCTCAACGTACATGCAAGGTGAATGGGCGAGAGCGAAAAGCAGGGGAGGGGTGTTTGGAGTTTTGCTCCAAGAAGATCGTGAATGTACACTGGTGTGCAAAACTTAAGGACGAGACAGATGAAGTATCATAACCTTTTGATAGCTTTGTGGACCGTTTAACGGTTCCTGTTAACTGCTTTCTTTAGTGCCCTGTGGCAGCTCTTTGTATGTGTGGTTAGGTTCCATAGAGTCATGTTACGCGCCAGTAACACGTCGTTGGAAAAGCTACGTTCGTCCCTAAGTTTTGCACACCAGTGTAGTTTGATGAGTAATATTGCAAAAAAAAACCATCTCTAACTTCCATGGTGCGAAACCGGGCTTGAAATCAAGTAGTACCAACCCAACACTGATAACAAAGGGTAAGTCTCACATATTTCTTAGGGGAGTGGAATATGGGGTAGCAATCGGTGAAATCGACGGTGGATTTTCCGGAGAGATGAAAAATAGTCCGATTATGGATACGGTATGAGTTTTTCGGAGAGATTTAGCAATTTTTAGAAAGAAAAATTCAAAAAAAAACTCAATTTTTCCCGGAAATTTTACGGAAAATTCGTAAAGCTTCGGATTTCTTCCACACTTCCCCTCCCCTAGCTTTTCCTATCCAATAGTGGATTTGTAAAGACTTTAGGCATATTTGTTGTGACGGGGGTGTTCATCAGCCGGCCTTGTAAAGAAAAAGTGAGATTTTAGGTCCTTTCTGGCAGGGATTGTTACGAAAAGGCTAAAAGCGGGAGTTTCGCGCTGGAGAGCTGAGAGAGGAGGGGTCTTTATGGCTGTTCAATCTCTCGACACATAGCTTTCTCCTACCACTTCATGTCTTCCACTCGAATCGTACACAACAGTGAAAACGAAAGTTCCAGAGTACTATCGCGAAAATTACTCGCTAAATTCTCAAAGCTGTGCTCTCGGATTCATTTTTGAAAAATTGGTCCAGACTGCGCTAAACATTACATTTAACAACAAACAACAAACATTACGACTGCAATCCCCTCAGCCGATTCCGACCACGCCCACTTCAGCTCCAGAGTGAGTTTATTCAGTCACACTTCTTAAGGTTTTTGAATAGAGCTGAACAACAAGTGGAAATCGGCGAGGGATTGCGGCGGTTTCCAAACGCCCACCCTGCTGGGTGTTGCTTTAAGTCCAACTTCTCTGCTGGCTTGCTGTGCAGGGCGCAACCTGGAGAAGAATCATTCATGGACTCTAAGCAGCGCAGTATTTCACAATTTCAGTGCTGTCGGCGGAACGGAGTCACGACCACTCTTGCCGGGTATAAATGTCTGACATTCTGCGATCAACGGCCAGACAAGTAGTCGGACACTAATTCCCCGGTACCAAATTTTCATACGTAGCTTCAATGCAGAATCACCAAACTCGACTACTCGTATGTTCCATGCTATGAACGATTCGAACAGATGAAACAATGCTTCTACAACGATATTCGAGAGAAGGCACGACGGCAGTACGGTAGCAGATAGAAGATGATCCCTCTAGTTTATTCTAATCTCAGTGACAGAATCTATTCCTCGATATGTATAACAAATGATGTAAAAATCATCAATAATATATGTTTCGCTGAGTTTTGTCATGCCAACTTCTATAGGCAACCACCATAACTTGTTTCGACGTAAACAAATTTGCACACGGTGAACAATCAGGTCAAGATTGAGTTTCAGCAAGCTTACCAGCATTAGCCAGTTAGCAACAGTCCAAGGGGTTCAATCGTTAATCTAAGGGGTGCACTAGCCCTGGTCAAGTACATAGGAAATGTCACTGATTTTGAAAACTTACCTTTGAAAGGCGTTGGAAGGGGTCTAACGCCGTCGAAGTGGGCGGATCCACCGAGCCTCGGTACGGCCGCCCACTTCTTCGTGAAGAGTGCGTGATTGGCTGCGCAGACATTTGCGGTCGTTTTGGGACCACCGGGACTATTTGAGGTCGATCCTTCAAGCAAGTCGATGTGGTGATGCCGACTACGCTGGATTTCTACGTTTTTCCTTCTACCTTCAAAACATAAAACAATTTCATTATTGCCCCAATTGCAATTGCTAGCAAGTAGCCAGCTATTGCTGGCTATTCGTGGATAAGCGGTGCAACAGATATCGGCGCCTCGTCGTGGCCGCCGCATGCGGCTAATCGTGCGGCGAGGGGGCGGAGCCTTACAGGACGAGTGTTGTCTATGTCAACTTCACGAGTAGGATGACGATCTTCATACTCTCTCTCTATGACTAATAGGATGTCTTACAGTGTGAAACTGAAAGTTGGCAGCTTACTCCACCAAACTATGATGACTAATGCCTTCTATAACACACATGTTCATCACTTGAACCACCTGTGATTCAACACTATTTGTTCTTTGGTAATTGCAGAGCTTAAGAACTGGAAATTCTTTCTTTGTCGGTTGTCTTTGTCTCTAACTTGAATTCTTTGCATCATGTCAAATTTTAACTAACAGATTAAGTGGTTATTAATTAACGAAAGCACTTCTTTTTAGTTACCAATGTTCGTGCTCTTCCAGCCAACCCTTGAAAATAATCACCTGTATCACCTGTCGTCCCGTTGATCATCGAATTGCTCGAGCGGGCGCCAGCAACGTCTCCATTCGTCCCTGTCGCGTGCAAGAGTTGTCCAGTGGACCCTCCTCGCTCGAGGGACACGATGTCCTTCATTCCTTTCGTTCAGAGCTTTCGTGAAGAAGTCTGACCATCGGGCCGGCGGTCGTCCAGGTGTTCGTTTGACGTCCCGAGGGATCCAGTCGGTAACCGCTCTGGTCCAACGGTCATCGCAAAATCGCATGACGTGTCCGGCCCACCTTATCTTCGATTCCTTGGCGAAAACGGCAGCGTCCCTGATCTTCGATCGTTGGCGTAGTTCGGCACTCCGGATTCCCCTCTGCACTTGCGTGTATAGGGTTACTCCTTTAGTATGCAGGTGTTCTTTTCTGCAAGCCCGAAACGTCACTCCAAGGCTGCAAAAACCACGCAATCTAAACAAAAATTTTGATCCATTTTTGGCCTTCGGGGACCGCTCAGTGAAAATGAAACACAGTGTTGTAGTTCCAATGTGACACCCCCTACAGCATGCAAAAACCGTTTTGAAAAAGCGCTCCACACCCTGAACGACCTCACTTATGGGAGTATGGGAGTGCCAAAAAGTCTAGAGCTTCGATATCAGTTCGGCTTTCGTGCAATTGGCAAGGCAAAATGCATCAGGTTCCCAAAGTTGAGAATTCAGAGAGCAGTGCCTTTTTTTGCTTTTTTATACAAAGAAGCAAAAAAATGCGCATATTGCTTTTAGACGAAAAAATATTAGATTGTCCAGAAAACAAGGTCAAAAGTGAGGGGGGGGGGTTATGGGCTGCTGTTTCCTGCTGATGACATCCTTCTGAGGACCCGGCAGAAGAAAATTCCAAACAATTCTACCACGGCCAGCAGCATAACCAGGTGCAAGCATACCAAAAATTCAGGAGCGCCTGAAGGGTACTTGGAAAGGTAAGGAAGCTGGACAAGTGGGCACCGCATGAGCTGACTGAGCAGCAGCAAGGTCGCCCGTCGGACATCGACAATCTGTCAGACATTTAGTGCGTGTGAAAGATCTGGCTAGCAAAATAAGGGAAAGCACGAATGCACCTCTCGGTAAGCACAGAAGAAAAAGTCATGCTGGCAACGACTTCGACGTGAAGTGCACGATACTAGCTTATGAAAACGATATCGGTGCAAGGAAAGACCCTTGAAACTTTCTAATGAGGAAACACAATCAATTGGGTTGTCTCATAATTCCTGTCTCAATTTTGACATTTTTGTTCATTCAAGTTTTATCTCTTCACAGTGGAATCGATAGTCCGATAGAGCGATGCCAATGCTATATGGTGGATGAGGTATCGTGGCCCTGGCTATCTCCCTCAGAACGTGGTGAGTTGGCATTGCAATGTGAGGTCTGGCGTACATTCGGAGAAAGGAGAATCTGAGACGTTTCTGACGATTCCCTCGCAACCCCGAAGCCAGCCTAGAGGCTATTCCGCGCTGACTTTAGCAATGCTTGTCTTCATACATTGAAGTGGTTCCCAAACCAGGCCACCTAGCGAATCCAACAAACGAGAGCGATATTCTCAGAAAACGGAGTTCGGGCTTTGGTTGAGCTGGTGCTTCCTGGCTGCGAGGTAGCCATCAGACGTGCCGCATGTTGTTGTCGCAGTGGACTCATGACTCATCTCCACTGGTGACCGATTAGGGAAGGCTCTGCTTTTGCCGTCCCAGAATGAATTTTCCCCAGATGGTCAGGCGTGCTTCTCGCTCATGGTCGGCCGGACCATAAGGTTTCCATCAAACTTCATTCTGCAGCAGTCCTTGCCATACTGATGGCGTGTGCTGGTGCATCGGCTGCGCTCAGGTATCTGCTACAATACCCTGGTAGCAACGTCCGGAGGCACTCCCAATTTAGGGTGCAAGGGGCGCTCATCAAAAATGACCGCAGGCCCAGTATGAGGTTGAAGTTCATAGCTCGTTTCGTCTTTGCCGTTGCGATTGGACCACTAGCTCAGTACCCTATCAGTAGCAGAGACTGGGTCAAACACAGCGCTGATCTTCTCTGTTGTCCTCCTTGCTACAGAGTTCATTTGAGGATCGTAAAGCATAATCATTCATTATAGTCACTGACCTATTTTTATTCCTAGTTGATTAACCCGTTACGGGCTTGCGCTTCCGAAACCATGCTGTTAAGGCTCTTGAAGCATACTTCAACATACTAACGTATTTCGCAATGAAACGGTCTTAGACGGAAGAAATTTGAAATTGAATAGAAATGAGACAGGAATTATGAGACAACCCAATATGAAAGAACAACAGAAATGAATGCATCTCCATAACTGCCGATTCTTGCCCTATATCCCTCTCTGCAAGCTATGATATGGAACGTCGTGCACTGCACGTACACTCTTTATAAGCAGTGCACGACCGGTTGGTCTCATTTATTCTACTGATTCTTCATATCAGTGGCTGAGCGGTCATCGGCACTGGTGAGTTGCGGTGAGTAACCCATTGTTAGGATTTCCACTCTCTGGTTAATAGCATGGTTAGCACCCGGCTGAATGCGTAATTGTGTTGAGCGGATAGGTAGCACTTGAAGTTTCAAAACGCTTCAGGCCTATGATAACGACGAATTTGTCGAAAAGTTAGGCTAAACAGAGATTCCACCATCGAAAAGCAGTTTGATACAATAGCAACGATAGTGTTCATAACAATGCCTAGGTTTCAAGAAAGACGGAACCGAGAATATTTCAGAATAAAGCAATTTTCTGAAAATTCGCGCAACGACGGAATCAAAAACTTCATGCTAATGTTCTTCCAAACAGTGTTGCATCATTGC